TATAATGACTTATACTGTCTTTTTACACGTTGCGTTGCATTGCATCGCGCCGCGTAAACATAAATCTCTGTCTGCGTTTGTGATCAGAGAAATGACAAACAACAAGTGCCACTCTACTGTCCAAAACTCGCGTTTGAATCATCAGTGGCAAATCCTTTAAATTAAAACGTACTTACGTGAGTCAGAACTGCCGGCATTTTAGTCTAATGTTACTCTCCCAGGATCAGTAAACAGTAAGAATATCTCTTTGGATTTGAGACTTTAGTCTTTGCAACTTTACAGATCTTCTTTATGCACCAAGAGCTTGTAACACTCCAAAGAGAAAGGAAAAATTGAAATCGCATCATATGACCATATGATCATATTTAAGATGGCAAGTTCAGTTGTAGAGGTTTATTTAAGGAGCAGAAGGGATCCAGTCAGAAACAATGAGTGATTGTTTTTCTTGTGTAAATGGTTATGCACTGATGTTTTGTCTCATTGTATGTCTCAGTTTTTACATCTTCTTATAACTGTATTTATACAAATACCTTGCCAAGACTAGCACACAGCTGCATACTGCAATACGCGAGAGCTTTTCAGAGAAGATGTGCGCAAAAATGCAGCTGTCAATCAAACAACATTCAGGCACTGGATTGAGTATGCACTGCTTATAATGAAGGTGTTGTTATTCGTATTGTTGAAGTTACTGTAAGACTGTTACATATGTTTCCAGTGTGTATGGCTTTTTAAAACTTTCATCAAGAAAGACTCTTATTCAATATGAGCAGCATAGCTTTTTATTTGTTCACCAGCTACTAAAGTATATCAAACTAGCATTAACCGGCTTTCAAATTCATTGATTTGTTTTAAAATTAATGGAATACTTTCCTAGGCAAGGCAAGGCAAGTTTATTTATATAGCACATTTCATACACAATGGTAATTCAAAGTGCTTTACATAAAAGAAAAGAAAATAATAAAAAAATAATCACAACAATAAAACAACTTTGAAAATAATTTAAAAATTGATTTAAGAGGTTTAAAATGAGTTTAAAACAGTTAAGAATAGAAAATGATTATAGGGATGCATCGATACCACTTTTTCCAGTACTCGCCCGATACCGATACTTTTATTTTTGGTACTTGCCGATACCGAGTACAGATACCGATATTTTTATTGCATTTGTACATTTTTTAAATATTGGGCACAGAAACCAAAAGGGTATGTATAATGTTAGTTGGTTAACTTCATTTATCAAATAGATACAGTCAAACCAAAATTTATTCAGACACCTTCAACATTTCTCACATTATCACAGTTTATTCGCTATAGTTTAGAAAATGTTAATAAAATATGACAAGAACTCAGAGTTACACTGTGTCAGAACAAATTCATCTTGATAATGTTAGATAATTTTGATAGAAAGGTATGTAATAGATTACAATCAACCAAAATAATTCAGACAGCTGTTAGTATGACAGTATTTACACAACTATCAATACTTTGTCGGGCAACCCTTAGCCTCAATGACAGCCTGTAGTCTCCTGGGCATGCTGTCACCCAGCTTCATGAAAACCTCACCTTCAGTGTTTTTTCCCAGACTCGGTCTGAATAATTTTTGGACCCAATTTTGTATTAATTTTACTGGTAGTCCACTGTATGAAGAATTTTTGGGTATGATTTGTCACAGTTTACGTTATTTTGCTATCCTCACTTTACATAAATGAACTATAGTGTCCTGCACCCACTAGTAAAAAAATATCAAAAATTATATCTGGTCTCTGAATCATTTTTGGTTTCACTGTATATCCTTCGGTTATTTTCACACTTAATTATGCCCATTAAAATGTATTTTACAAGTTTTTGTTACTTTCACTGTTCATTTTTTTGCTCTGTGGTACATCATCTGTAATTTAATAGCATTAGAGCTGCTCCATTGCAGCGGGTTAGTACTGTAATCACGCGCTTTGCTGTAATAATGCAGGGAACCACTCATTATAAATCTCCTAACTGTGATATTTTCAGAAACAGAAGTCGCGTTTTTTCATCTGAAACGTGCAGCGATTTATATTCCAAAGCCACTCATATAATGCAGAAACAATCA